CCCCACATTTTCATCTTTATCATTCATGTATATAACAAACAAGAAGGGCCCTGTACTGATCCTTGTGGAACACTGTTGGACACTGGCCTCCAGTCACTCAAACAGCTTTCTACCTCTATCCTTTGTGTCCTATTTCTAAGCCACTTTCTGATCCATCTCACCAAGTTTCCCTTGATTCTGTGTGCTTTAACCTTCTCAATTGGTCTGCCATGCGGGTCAGAGCCAGAAGGGCTTGTGAGTTGGAATGGAGGGAAGAGGGTGGATAGCTCACACACTGAGGGCAGTGCTAGGAGGCCAAGGGAGGGTCCAGGCTGAAGCCTTGGGTCTCCTCGCAAAGCCCAGGGAAACACTCCTCCTCCAGTCCTTTGGTGCAACATGGAGTCTCTTCATGTCCATTCTCAGAGCTGTCACCGCAATCAGAATGAGCTTCAATCTCATGTGCCAATTGGTTGGCTTCTTTCTGGGGTGTGTGTCTGTGTGTGTGGGAGGAGGGGTGAGGGGGTGGTGGGGGTGATATGCCCTCCCTGAATTTGACCACGGTGAGGGTGGGGTTGGGAGGATACAAGAATGCAGCCAAACCTCTCCCTGCTCTCCCCCCCCCACCTACCTCTCATTTCTGAGCTGCAAGGCAGGCTGATTTGAATGTGGGACCACGAGTTAGAGAGTTGTGAGGATGGTTTGGGTGTCTGACCTGCAATATCCTCCCTGATCAGCAGGGGAGAGTGTGGGAACACTGTATAAACTTTCAGTCCCTCCAGTGATCAGACACTGTCCATGTATCTGGGGTGAACCATTTAATGAATACTCAAACATCCCGGCAGCAAGTGATGCAGGGCATCTACCTCCACACTCTGTCTGATTAAATACCCCTCCAGTATCAAACTCGCCAGAGGGAGGGCATTGACGTCCATCCACAGTAGAGTTTCAGATTGAGGAGATCTGGGTAAAGAGGTTCTTTCTCAATGTCTGATTGGATTGATTCATGACTATTCTATAATTGTACTCCCTCACAAAACGGGAAACATCTCAAAATCTACCCTAGCAAATCCCTTCATTGTTTTAAAGACCTGTGTTAGATCATCCATTACTCTTCCCAAGAAAAGGGCCCCAAATTTCCTGGTAGATATTTATTCTTTCCATTTTCATTTCACCTTTTAATAACGTCTTGTATGTTCTCCAGTTCCTGTTTATTCACTTTTTATCGAAAAGCATTTAGAATATAAAATATTGTGGTTTGCCTTTGGTATCCCTTCACATCCTGACAAATTTCAGAGATGTTTTCACTTGAGAATGGGAGAGAGGTAGCTTGTAGTTTTTTGTGTGTGATGCTGTGGGCCGTTGTGTTTGTTTGTGGGCCCTAAATCTTGGGAGGTAAGGATTTGGAGGATGGAGGAGCCTAATGGAGTGGTGAGGGGGTCCTTTGTAAGGTACTCCGTGGCATTGGGAGGGAAGTTGCCAATGGGAACCACCCTTAGTTCTCAGTACTCCTCTTCTCCTCCCTCAGTCCTTCTGCTGTCACTCACCTGTGTCTGCGTTCATGATCTGCATTGGCAAGCCCCTGTCCCTTCCACTGAATGCTGTCCATTACCTCAGAATCACAGCATTGCTACCATGCAGGAGGCATTTGGGCCTATTATGCTTGTGTGCCTCTCCCAGTGAGCAGATCACTCGGTGCCATTTCTCTGCCTTCTCTTTGTAAACCTGCACTCTCTTCATTTTCAAGTAGCCATCTAACTCCCTTTTGAATGCTTCAATTGAACCTGCCTCCTCCACACTCTCTCAGGCAATACATTCCAGACACTACCCCACTTGTATGGAAAAGTTATTTTCTCATATCGCTTTTGCTTTGTTCCCCAATTACTTTAGTCCTGTGGGCTGTTGTTTTTGATCCTTCCACCAAGGGAACAGTTCTTTTCCCTCTACACTGCTCCGACCTCCCCATGACTTTGAACACCTTGATCGAACTTCTTCTCGGCAAACAGTCCCCATCGATCCTCATTGCTGAAGTTCTGCATCCCTGGAATTATTCTTGTGAATCTTTTCTGCACTTTCTCTGATGTCTCCTGCAAGTTCAATGTAATCTCCTTGTTGTTGTACTGCATGCCTCTTTTGTTAGAGGGGATTTAGGGAAAATGTTTCTCTCCCATAGGGTGG